AGTCATGCATATACCCTGGGTTGGACACTCTTTTGGATCTGACCAGTATTTGGTACTAATCTGAAGATTTAGTTACCCACGATCAACCATAGCTCCTTTGAGGTGGTGCAGCACTGCCCCTAGAATCTGTTGGAGCCCTCTGACTCAATCTAGGGCAGTCCTTCACCATATTTCCTGGTTGGTAGCACCAAAAACAAGTATTGGATCGAGACATATATTTTCCCTTATGCGATCTTCCACACTTTTCAGATTTCTTAGCTTCCAATTGAGTGTCAGGCTGTTGGATATAGCCTTCTTAGCACCTACATTACCTGATCAGAAGGATTGCCCTCTCTGAGAGCCCTAAAGAAACCTGAACCACTCTGAATTTCTTCTTTTCTGAATGTCCCTCCTCCTCTGAGTAGCCTCTGAATTTCTTCTCCTGCAACTATCCTCGTCGTCATCTCTCTGCTCCTCCATCTAATGCAAATGTGGCCAGTGTAACCATCATCTCGGAGGAAAAAAATAATTTATCTAAAATCTTCTCTACCCACAGCAGCTAGTTTTCAACATTCATTAAACCTATTCTAGAAAAGAATGGTGATCTCATATCCTGAAATAATTTTAAGTATTTATCTATCTGACCTCCACCACTGAAATTATACTGAGTCTGAGAGTTCTTAATCAACTGTGTTATTGCAATCATCATTTCAATAAATGCATTTGTATTCGTAGTAATTTGTGACTTCTACAATATCATCTCTAGCTTATTCCCCCTGATTTTCCATATTTCTGAAATAGCATAAGAAAAATTATAACTAGCACAATTTAATCATTCATTAATATCAATTATAAATCAATTTAATCATTCATTAATATCAATTATAAATCAATTTAATCATTCATTAATATCAATTATAAATCAATTTAATCATTCATTAATATCAATTATAAATCAATTTAATCATCGTAATGGCACTTTTAGATCATGATCCAACCTAATTTCTACGATACCACTGTTGTCAGAACCAGGCCTAGTGCTTAGAATTAACTAAGATGGAACTATGGCTAGACATTATTAACATTTCCTTTTTTGACTTTCCACATAATTTTTAGAAACTTTCAAAATATAAAAGAGCCACTAAAATTTGCAAAGTGAAATAATTTTAAAACATCCAGGAACAACAACAATAATCTGAAGACTGCATCTCAAAATAGTATTTAACACTCTATCACTATCTGAAGAAAACAGTGCAAAAAGAAACTACAAACACATTATAAACTAGTATCTGTCAGTTGCAGTCCTACTCTTGTAAACCAAGTCTCTCCTACCAAACATGTTAACCTAAATTTTTTCTTTTCCTAAAAAAACATTAGTTGCAATAGTAAGTTTGAAATTAGTGAGCAATTATTTTTTTTATATGCTCAGTGAACAATTATTTTTTTATATGCACCAAATTATTATGTCATTGCTATGCATGAATGATCAAAGAAAATACCGTTCATTTTTTTATAAAATTTTAAACTTTCACGTTAAATTTATCCCTTCTCGTTTCAGTTTAAGTATTTACCATTTTAACTTTTTTAAGAGTCATAACAGTATTATCTTCACACCTGAAGGTACCCTCAAGTATGTATCCAAAAATACCTTAAAAATATATCAAAAGATACCCTCAAATTACAACTGAATGTATATTTTTACCATTTTCTTTAGCGTGCATAAGTACATCGCATCCTCTATCAATACTATCTGAGGTTATTCCTGTATGACTTAACATTTATATTTCATTTTATTTCAGTTTAAAATTTTTTAAATTATGCATTCATTTGTCCGTTATTTTCTCTCATTTATGATATCATTTTGACTTTCAAATTTCAGACAATAATGACATGCTTGTTTTAAACCATTTAATAAAATATTAATTTAATGCATAAAAAAAATAATCACTCGACTTCCTTTCAAGAGAACTTTGAAATATTTATCCCTTCACTTCTTTCTTGCTTCTTACAAAATCCAAAATCCAAATACCGAATCCTTTGAATCCAACTTTCTTAAATCCCTAGTTTAGATTATAATAATAACATTAAACAAAATTATTAATTATCATAACAATATTTTTAGCATATACTATAATAATTAAAACCCTAACCTTATCTTTAATGAAGCTTGGTTCGGTCTACAGTTGCACGCATGCCGCCACACGAGCCTCTCCTACTACTTCAAATGGGAGCACAAAGCAAATTTCTCCTTCCCGCTTCTCTCCTTAATGGTGTTAATTATATGAACATTTCATTAAAATTTACTTATCATTATAAACTTACATATATATAATATAATAAATATTCATAAAACAAATTCTTTATGAAATAAAGTAACAAACACTATCAAACAAGTGGCAAAAAAATATATTTGCAGAATCAAAAGAAAAAGATTTTATAAATAAAAATAGTTAGTGGTGGAATAATAATGTGCAGAAAAAATAAAATATAAGAAGTTGTGTTATAAAAATTTATTTAAATATAAAAGCTTAGAGGATTGGGAAAAGTATAAGGTGACCCGTAGGGAGTCTAAGTGAATAATTTGTTATGCTAAAAATTCTGTTTTTAGTGATCTTTATAATAGATTATATATTAAAGATGGTGAAAAATATATATATAAACTAACAAAACAAATAGAGAAAAAAATAAAGAATTAACTCCGGTAAAGTGTACTAAAAATGAAAATCGAAAAGTGTTTTTCTTAGAGAAAAATATTCAACATAGATGAGTGAGCTATTTTGATAAACTTTTCAATAAATTTTCTAAAAATACGACAGAACTTAGTGATCTTAATATCGTTAATAATAATAAAATATTTTATTTTTAACACCGCATTAGTTAAAAAGAAGTTGATGATGCTTTAAGAAAAACCAATGGTAAAAAATCAGTAGGACATGATGATATCCCAATTAAAGTTTGAAAATATTTAGTAGATTTGGGAGTTTCTTGGCTTACTAAACTCTTTAATATTATTTTAAAAAAAGATCTATGCAGAGTGGAGGAAGAGTATTTTGGTAGAATAAAGAGGATGCATAAGGGTGTAAAAATTATAGAGGAATTAAGTTAATGTGTCGTACTTTAAAATGATGGGAGAGGGTAATTAAGCATAGGTTAAAACGTATTACAACAATTTCTCATACTCAGCTTAGATTTATGTCGGGCAAATCTACTATAGAAGCTATCTATTGAGAGGTTCGATGGAGAAGTACAGAGAGAAGGAGGATCTACATATGATTTTTATTGACTTAAAAAAAGCTTACGATAAGGTTCCAAGCAAAGTCCTTTGAAGAGTTCTAGAGAGCAAAGGTGTTGATATGTCTTCTATTCAAGTCATTAAAGATATGTATGCTATAGTTGTTCAAAGGTGTTGATATGTCTTATATTCAAGTCATTAAAGATATGCATGCTATAGTTGTTATTGTGTTCAAACAGAATGAGGATTGACAAAGTATTTTCCTATTTCAGTTGGATTACATCCAGGATAGACTTTTAAGCCCATACATTTTTGCTTTATTTATGGATGCTCTTACTAAACATTTACAGGAGGATGTATCTTGGGGTATGCTTTTCGTTGATGATATCCTTCTTGTGTATAAAACTAGAGAAAGAGTTTAGGAAAAAAGAGTTCAGAAAAAACATGAATTATGAGGTCTACACAAGAGTCAAAAGGCCTTCGTTTGAGTAGAACTAAAACTGAATACATGGAATGTAATTTTAGTTGTAGTAGCTATAGTGACAGAGTTATAACTATTAGTGATCAAATAATTAAAAAGTGTGAAACTTTTAG